CCACCAGCACCCCTGGACCTCCTCCTGACAAGAGTGCCCTCAGAGCCCAGCATCTATGTTCTGGGGTCCCCGGAGCATAGCTCACTAATAAACCCCAGGCCACTGCTCATGCATGTCCCCACCTCACACACACAGATGCTTTGGTCTTGTCCCATCCCCCTCTCCAGACACCTCCCCATAGGTTTCAACCAGCTGGTGATTGACAGCAGCAGGAGCCAATAGCACCAACTGCAGAATCAACCTACAGCCAATCAGGGGTGATCAGTCCCCAGATAGCTGTAGACTCTCCATGCCTAACAGTGGGTCATGATGTGGGTTTCAGGTAGGTATTAGGGTGGCTGGGGGGTGCTGGCTTATAATGTTTGAAGCTAAAAAACCTCCTGCCTTTCAAACCACCTTAATAGTACAGAAATAATATAAAATTGATGTGCAGTGCTAAAGGTAATGATAAAAACAATGCTAAAAAACAATATGATACTACGTAAAAAACGTATTATTATTATACAGTATTTATAAAGCGCCAATAGTTCGCTCAGCGCTGTACATTACAGAGGGGGACAGAACATGTGACAGAACAATACCAATACAATGCAAAAACATGAGGGGGATTAAGGGCCACTGCTCTTTCGAGCTTACAATCTAGGAGGGAGAGGATGGTGGTCACAGGAGGAGATAGCTGTGGGGGATGGCTAGTGGTAGGAAGAGTGGAGGAGGTCAGTAAGTTAGCAGGGGGGTGGGTAGTAGCTTCCCTGAAGAGATATAGATAAATATAAAGACGTATAGATAAATCTCAATTATAAAGTTCCAAAGATAGGCATAAATAGTCCATATGATGGTTTGAGGTGCTCAAATATTCCTATAGCTGTCTGAGGATGAGTGATGTGCGTGCATATAGGTGTGTAAGGAATGCGCAATCACCAGAACACGCAATAAATGAGCGTTGTGTTATTATATCCTTAGATGTCATCTAATGGTCATTACAGGGTATGGTAGGAATCAAGTAGACTCCCTCTGGTGGTCCTGGGACACAGTAGTGGGGCATCAGGGATATTCAGAATCCCCCTTAAAGGGTGGGTGCAGCTCTCTGGGTGTGGAGGAAGCTCCCTCTCTGGTGGTCAGGTGGCAGGTAGCTGAAAATTGATACTCCACGCAGGAGTCAAGATAAGAGCATATCCATAGTGTAGTATATTAAGGGTTTATTGAGGTATGCAAGTATCCAAGAAATAGTAAACATGGCAGAGTGATTAAAACATGGACTGACCGTCCAGGGTACAAAGATGGCCGCCGTAGCTCCACGTTGCTCTGGCGGCGTGACGTCAAGTCGTTACTGGCTCCTCCTTAGGGAAGTGATAATCATGATGAAATGTCACTTATTCTTTGCTCTCATTTTACAGGAGTGGTTCTTCTTGGGGTTCAAGCTGGGGAAAGCCACCTTTATGTCATCCACTCGCCTTCATTTGTGGAAACTGGATATTTTATGGTGCAAGGCCAGAAACTGGCATCAAGGACCTGCATAAACACCCTGGCATGCCAGAGGTGGTTGGAAAGTAGCACAGCAACCTTGACATCCTTCTCCTTTATGCTACTGGTGGGGGTGCATAATTACTTCTCGTTTCTGAAAGAACCTGCAACAGATATTGCAGTCCCCATGTTTTCCAAATGTGGTTGAGTTGCGTGATGGCAAAGAGCGGGGCCTTTTTTTTTTTTTTTTATTGAAGACATTTTTGAACTTTCAAGCCCCATCAAAACACTAGAATATTGACTTCAAATCCAGCCCAGTGTTTCCATGTTATTTCTCTAATAAAGTCAATTTATTTGCACCAAACAAGTGTCATGTCACCTCTTAATTTTATTTCCAAGAATTAAGATGGCCATACACTATACAATCTGATTGTCCCAATCTCTACACTATTTCCTTTACATGTAGCAAAATCTTGGTAATAGGAGGACCTGTATGAAAAATCCATTCCTTTGGAATCTTTTGACCCAGGTACCTACATTACATTTGTTTGATGTGAAGGAAATGTCACTTTTGGATACCTGAGCTCATTTCGTTTAGATAAAAATACTTTTTCTGTCCATTGTAACGTATTGACTAATGCAGCTCAACCTAGCTCAGACATAAAGAAAATAGTGTCTTGTCCATACACTAGCCACTCTGATTGTCCTATCTGGACTCCCAGATCTGGACACTGCATACAGGTGAAACTCAAAAAATTAGAATATTGTGCAAAAGTTCATTTATTTCACTAATGCAACTTAAAAGGTGAAACTAATATATGAGATAGACTCATTACATGCAAAGCAAGATAGTTCAAGCCGTGTGATTTGTCATAATTGTGATGATTATGGCTTACAGCTCATGAAAACCCCAAATCCACAATCTCAGAAATTAGAATATTGTGAAAAGGTGCAATATTCTTAGGCTCAAAGTGTCCCACTCTAATCAGCTAATTAAACCATAACACCTGCAAAGGGTTCCTGAGCCTTTAAATGGTCTCTCAGTCTTGGTTCAGTAGGAATCACAATCATGGGAAAGACTGCTGACCTGAAAGTTGTTCAGAAAAACTATCATTGACACCCTCCATAAGAAGGGAAAGCCTCAAAAGAGCTAATGCAAAAAGAAGTTGGATGTTCCCAAAGTGCTGTATCAAAGCACATTAATAGAAAGCTATGTGGAAGAAAAAGTGTGGAAGAAAAAGGTGCACAAGCAGCAGGGATAACCTGCAGCCTGGAGAGGATTGTCAGGAAAAGGCCATTCAAAAGTGTGTTGGGGACTTTCACAAGGAGTGGACTGAGGCTGGAGTCAGTGCATCAAGAGTCACCACACACAGACGGATCCTGGACATGGGCTTCAAATGTCATATTCCTCTTGTCAAGCCACTCCTGAACAACAAACAACGTCAGAAGCGTCTTACCTGGGCAAAAGAAAAACAGACCTGGTCTGTTGCTCAGTGGTCCAAAGTCCTCTTTTCTGATGAAAGCAACTTTTGCATCTCATTTGGAAACCAAGGACCCAGAGTATGGAGGAAGAATGAAGAGGCACACACTGCAAGATGCTTGAAGTCCAGTGTGAAGTTTCCACAGTCTGTGTTGATTTGGGGAGCCATGTCATCTGCTGGTGTTGGTTCACTGTGCTTCATTAAGTCCTGGGTCAACGCAGCCATCTACTTCATGCTTCCTTCCACAGATGAGCTTTAGATGGGGATGCTGACTTCATTTTCCAGCAGGACTTGGCACCTGCCCACACTGACAAAAGCACCAAAACCTGGTTCAATGACCATGGGATTACTGTGCTTGATTGGCCAGCAAACTCGCCTGACCTGAACCCCATAGAGAATCTTTTGGGGCATTGCCAAGAGAAAAGATGAGAAAGATGAGAGACATGAGACCAAACAATGCAGAAGAGCTGAAGGCCGCTATTGAAGCATCCTGGTCTTCCATAACACCTCAGCAGTGCCACAGGCTGATAGCTTCCATGCCACGTCGCATTGAGGCTGTAACTGCTGCAAAAGGGGGCCCAAACCAAGTACCAAGTACATATGCATGCTTATACTTTTCAGAGGTCCGATATTTGTTCTATGTACAATCCTTGTTTTATTGACTGCAGGTAATATTCTAATTTTCTGAGATTGTGGATTTGGGGTTTTCATGAGCTGTAAGCCATAATCATCCCAATTATGACAAATCATGGCTTGAACTATCTTGCTTTGCATGTAATGAGTCTATCTCATATATATTCTAATTTTTTCGAGTTTCACCTGTAGTTGGGTCTGTTCATAAAATGAGAATTATTGCTTTCTAATACTACACTTGCTGAAAGGATGGGTTATTTCATGCATGCTGCAGGCAAAATATCTATAATAATTTAGTGTATTACCAGTAAAAGACGTATTACTATACACATTTGGGTACATAGTAGGGGTTTTCAGTTATTCCATAGAAGTTGTTGTTATTCCTAAATAGACAGGTGGCACTGACACAAGAAAACTCCAGTCAGCTATTCTACTCCCTCTCCACTCCCTGGCTCTAATCCACAACAATTTGGAAAGTAATGTGTTAGTAGCCAAATTCTTAATTTAATAAAAATTATTCCAGGGATTTACAGAACACAGGAATTCACATCAGTCTTTGTACCTGAAGGAGCTTACAATTTAACATTTATACATATTCTAGGGCCAATTAACATGTCTTTAGAGTGTGGGAAGAAACCCACACAAGCACAGAGAAAATATGCAAACTCCAGTCACGTGGTGGCGTGACTGGGATTGGAACCCCACGACCCAAGTGCTGCTAGGCACTTGTACTAACCACTGTGGTTTGCCCAGAGTTTTAGTTGGAATATATCGTAGTACCATGATTAAAGAATGAAGATCTTTCGTTATATTATAGTAAAATTCTAATTAGATATTAAAATTGTCATTTTAATTTATCTAGAGATTTTACATTAGGGAATAGTATGTATTACTCTGTTACATTCATTAAAGAAATGAATAAAGTTGCAGAAAATATTTAAATAAAATAATTAGAGATGAGCGGAATTATTCAAAAATTCGATTCGGCTGATTCGGCGAATTTCGCGGAATAAATTCGATTCGAGTCGAATATATTCACTGCGAATTTAACTTATAAAAAGGTGTTTCTAGGCTTCAGAGAGCCATTTATATTAGTGCAGAACACTGTACCTTTAATTTAAATGCCCTTGGAGTCTGCTGGGGAAGAGAAATAATACTGTCAGTCAGTATGACATGCAGATGAGTGCCGTCGATCTTAGAATCACCGCACACTTCACTCATTTGGGCAGTCACGGGGCCAAAACCAGAGTGTGGAGCCACAGTGTGGCGGTGGAGGCAGCAGCAATGGGAGGCCATACAGCACCCTATGAAAAAATGGAACCCACCAGCAGTGTGAGGAGACCTGAAAGTGGCACATGGCAGAGTGTGGCGATGGAGACAGCAGCAATGGGAGGCCGTACAGGGACCCATGACACACTCTGGACAGCAGCTGAGGAGGCGGTACAGGGGCAGACAGATTATGGCTAGCAGCATGAGGGAGGGTACAGGGGGCCCATGGCAGATTAACGGGCCTGGCAGCAGCAATGGGAGGCCCGTACATCAGCACCCTATGACAAAATGGAACACCAGCAGTGTGAGGAGACCTGAAAGTGGCACATGGCAGAGTGTGGCGATGGAGACAGCAGCAATGGGAGGCCGTACAGGGACCCTGACACACTCTGGACCTGGCAGCAGCATGAGGGATGGCGGTACAGGGGCCATGACAGAGGCAGCAGCATGAGGAGTCGGTACAGGGGCCCATGGCAGATTACGGGCCTGGCAGCAGCAATGGGGAGGCCATCTGCCAGCACCATATGACAAAATGAGAACCCACCAGCAGTGTGAGGAGACCTGAAAGTGGCACATGGCAGATTGTGGCGATGGAGACAGCAGCAATGGGAGGCCGTACAGGGACCCACTGACACACACTGGACCTGGCAGCAGCATGATGGAGGCGGTACAGGGGGCCCATGACAGATTTACGGGCCTGGCAGCAGCATGATGGAGTCGGTGGTACGGGGGCCCATGGCAGATTACGGGCCTGTGCAGAGCAGGCAAATGGAGAACCCGTACAGGGACCCATGACACACTCTGGACCTGGCAGCAGCAAGAGGAGGCGTACAGGGGGCCCATGGCAGAGAGAGGAGGAAGCGGCAAGCAGCTTAAATGTGAGGAGGCCATACAGGGGCCTATGTTAAAAATGTGGCGAACATGTTTTGGGGCATGATTAATTGAAGGCCATTACAGAGCCTATGTATATTGTTTGGGGCATGATCAGGACGGATTTAGTCAGTTGTGTCAGGAACTGGTGGTTTGAAATCCAGACTAATCCACGCCTGATTCCATTTTCACAAACGTGAGTCTCTTCACACTTTGGTGTGTGGACAGTCGTGTCCTCCGCGGAGTTACAATACTCCTGCCGCACTAAACACGCGCTCCGATGCCACGCTACTGGTCCGGGCATATCATGACAGCCTTTCAAGGGCAAATTCAGCTAGTTGGGGCCAAAGGTCAAGTTTCGTTGCCCAGTAGTCAAGGGGATTGTCTACTCGGTTGGCAGGGTGCTGTCCAAGTAGGCCCAAGCCTGGTTGTTTGAGGTCCTGCTCCAGGTCCACCTGATGCTGAGAGCTGCTGCTTAGCTGCGGCTGGTTAGTAGTTTCCTCACTGCGCTGGTGAAGAAAGCTACTCATCATCGACTGCAGACTGAGGCAGCCGCTGCTGGTGGAGCTGCCACTGCTCCTACCACCCCACCCCTCCCCTGCTGCCATGGCAGCGGAACTGCGAGCGCACAGGGGGCCCACAGTGTCTGTGGCTATGGACGTTGGCGCTGAAAGGCAGAGACCAAACTGACTACATAGGTGTTTTTATAGTACGTTATTTTGGCCTCCCTCTCAGCAGGTGTGAAAAAGGCCACCATTTTGTGAACGGTTAGCGAGGGTTCCAACAAGGTGGACAGCCAAAAAGTCATCCCTCTGTCTGTTGGTTATTATTCGGCTGTCGCTACGCAAGCAAGCCGAGCATGCTATGGGCCATTTGTGCCAAGGAATGCGAGGGGACTCCCTGCCTCCATCTCCACAGCATACTGCCACGGTTTTTTGCGTCTGGGTCCTCTGTCTCCTCCTCTCTCCTCTACAGATGCTCCTGCTTCTCCACTCCTGTCCGGTTGAGTGGAAAAACCACCCATTTCACTCAATAATTCCTGAGCCCACCTATGTCCTCCTCTACATCCTTCTCTCTTCTTCCTGTCAAGCCCCCCACAGGGGTCATGTGGCGTTTGTAGATCTTTGTGCGCCACGTCTACCGCACCCTGACCAGACCCTATTGTTATACAGATTTGTTCCAGGACGTTTGCAACACGAGCGAATATGTCGTCGCTCCATCCATATTTAGGCCTGACCGATCTCTCTACGAATAATAGCGTCGGACCTCTACTCATAGGTGCACTTGAGGCAAGTCGGCAGGTGTAACGCCATGAGCCTGCCATGATGGCTGACTACTTCGAAATTAAAGTTACCACAGGGGAAGTATCCTTTAGCCGCGTTGTATATCATATACGGAAATAGGGTGAATGCCTTTCGCTGTTCGTAAAGGGCGGTATCTTCGATCTTGGTTCAGGGCGTGAATTCGCCACCTTGTTAGCAGAACGTTATCGAGAATCAGACGATTGCTGTTGGAATTCCGTTCTGCCGTGCAGCTAAAGGAAAGGTGTGCTATGGCGGGTTGCTTTTGTAGGAATGGCTGAATGCATTGCAAAGTTTAGTGACATTTTAAGGATGTTTGCAGTGGATGGTGGTTTTAGGAACCGCTTTACAAAAAGATTGAACACCG